AGTATTGCAGCGCCTAAACGCAAAAACTGGCCTGGTCAGGAAGGGGGGTAAATCCTATGGAGGGCAAGTGGTTAAGGAAGGCCTGGGATGCTTTGGCTTTTGCCCTTGGACCAGTTTTAGCCTCAACTTGTATAACCAGAAACCTAGATCTTTAGGTTGACAAGTTGGATTAACTCCTTTCCGCAGATACGCTTATTGCCCAGGTTAGGGAGGCACTGCCGCTTGTATCTAAATCAGTAGCCTTTTTAGCGGATGTTGCTGCAGAAAGTGTTAGAGCCACTGCCAGAGACACGGCTTTTTTGAACTCTGCCCGTAGGACCATTGCCTTAAGGCTTGGGATGGAGACTTATCTTCTAAGTGTAAGCTTTTTGGTTTACTGTTTGAAGGCAACCTATTATTTGGCTCAGGTCTCTGTACTTTTCTTTCTCATTCTTCAGAAAAAGGCGGCAAATTTCCAGTGAAAAAGAGAGAGAGAAAGATATAGAATTTTCATACCAAGGGATCCTTTCAGGGTAAGCAAGTGAAAAGTCAGTTTGACCCCAAGAAGTCTCATCTGGGAAGAAAGCGTTGGGCTTTTGACAAGACCAAAGGAAAAGGGGGGGGGGGGGCCTTGTTTACCTTTGGAGATCCCGCTCCCAAAACCGACAAGTGACGCAAGGCCCTGGGTGGGCGGCAGGTTATCCCTTTTTTCAGACGTTTCGGGACAAAGGGGGATAGGTCCCTTTGTTCTTCAAATTATAAGAGGGTGATACAAACTAGAATTTTGCGTTTCCCCCTCCCCAACTTTTTTTGGCAACAAAACTGCTAAGGGACAGAAATCCCTTGTAGAGGTTATCTCACATTTGGCTTCTCAGGGGGCCGTTGTTCCAGTACCAGTAGAATTTAGTTTTCCAGGGTTACTATTTTCATATATTTCTGGTAAAAAAAAAGTTCAGGTGGGATCAGGATAAGCATCAATCTAAAGGGCCTGAACTGTCATCTTGTTTACAAGAGGTTTCGAATGGAGAATATTTTCACTGTGAGGAATCTGCTATTCCAGGAAGTCTTCATGACCTCTCTGGATTTGCAAGATGCCTACCTCCATGTTCCTATGCATCAAGATCACCAGAAATATCTGAGATTTGCAATTGATTCAGAGAAGGGAGTACAGCACTCGCAATTTCAGTCACTACTGTTCGGCCTTGCATTAGCCCCAAAATCTATCTTATGTGTTTCATCCGCTGGCAATTCTTTGGTTGTTCAGAAGATCACCCTGGAAGACTGCCAAGTGATTCTCATAGTTCCATACTGGTCCAAAATTAGTTGGTTTGCGATCCTTTTGTTCCGGTCGGTGTCCCCTCCCTGGATTCTCCCCGACCGTTTGGATATACTTCTCCAAGGGCCACCCCAACCCTCGTCTTTTCCGACTGATGGCCTGGAGGCAGAAGGGCTGATCCTCAAATCCAAGGGATGTTGAGAAAGTAATTCAGACCCTTCTAAACAATAGGAAGAGTTGCACTAGAAAAATGTATGTGAAGGTTTGAAGAACCTTTCATTCTTAGAGATCTAGATCAGGGAGGTTGGATACTTCTATTCCTGTAGTGCTAGATTTTTTGCAGGCGGTGGATAGGGGTTTGGCAGTCATTACCTTGAAGGTACAGGTGGCAGCCTTGTCCGTATTTTTGGATCAAAGATTGGCTGAGGATTCTCTTTTTAGAAGGTTTCTAGTGGCTAGGGAGAGACAAACTCCTAGGATGCTTAAAATGGTTCCTCTGTGGGATCTGTCCTTAGTCTTGGACACTCTTACGAAAGCTCAGTTTGAGCCCTTATCAGATTGTTCTTTAACCACTTGCCTACAGGGCACTTGTACCCCCTTCCTGTCCAGGCCAATTTTCAGCTTTCAGTGCTGTCACACTTTGAATGACAGTTGCGCGGTTATGCAACACTGTACCCATATGAAATTTCTTTTGGTGGTATTTAATCACCTCTGGGTTTTTTTTGCTAAACATCTCAAAAACAACTGAAAATTTTGAAAAAAAGTTTTTCCTTAGCTTCTGTTATAAAATGTTGTAAATAAGTTATTTGTCTCCTTCACTGATGTGCGCTAATGAGGCTGCACTGATGGGCACTGATAGGAGGCACTGGTAGGTGGCACTGATGGACATTGACAGGCATCACTGATAGGCACTGAAAGGCAGCACTCATATATGGTACTGATAGGCGGCACTGACTTGCACTGATAGGCGGCACTGAAAGGCAGCTCAGATGGGCACTGATATGTATCATTGATATGCACTGCTAGGCACTGATATGTGGCATTGATGGGCACTGGCAGGTGGCATTGATGGGGCTACACTGATCATCAGTGCTCTGATGATCAGTGTACATGTCCCCTCTGAGAAATGCCGATTACCGGCTCTCCTGTCCTCACAAGCTGTCAGTGTAACAGCTTGTGAGGAGAGAAATGCTGATAACCGGCATTTCCTTATTTACATGCGATCAGCTGTGATTGGACACAGCTGATCACATGACAGAGCCGACGTCTTCGACTTTTTCCGTTGATCGGTGATAGCCGCTCTGAGCACCCCCGGATCTGCGCACACATGGTTAGAGTGGGAGGACGATGACGTCCTCCCAGAAAGAGAGAACCGCCTTGCGCCCGTCATTTCCTTATATGGCCGGCAGGAGGCGGTTAAAGAAACATGTTGATATTGAGGTGGCTATTTTCAAAAATCTGTGGCAATTTTGGCAATAAACATCCTTATATTTGGCGGGAGGTGGTTAAAGAGTCTTTCTGGTAAGATGGCCGTCTTTTTCTTGGAAGGGTCCTTATTTAACCGTTTTGGAGGACAGGGTAGTTTTAAGACCTGATCCTATGTACCCTACTAAAGTTTCATAAGATTTTCACCGTTCTCAGATACTTTGCCTTGTTTCTGCAGGTCCTCTAGGAATGAGAAAGAGACATTTAGTTTTTTTAGATGTCAGAAGATGTTTGTTAGAATATTTGAGAGTGACCAGAGATTTCAAAAAATCTAGCCATCTTCTGGTTCTTTTCAGTGGACCTAGAAAGGGTCTTTGTGATTCAAAAAGTTCTATTGTCAGATGGGTTCGTGAAACTAGATTGTGTGCGTACAAGAGCTTGGGCCAGCAGCCTCCTTCCAGATTAGGTGCACATTCTACAAGAGCCTTATCAGCCTCCAGGGCAGAAAGAGCAGGTGGTTCATGGGAAGACATTTCCAGAGCAGCAGTTTGGTCGCATAACCATGGCTTTGTTAAACACTACTATGTGGAACTTCTTTCTACCTAGGACTTGGCCTTTAGAAGGATATTTCTAAGGGTAATGGTCCCTCCCTGAGGTGGGAATGTTTTTTTTTTTTTTTTTATCCTCTCATGTAGCTGTCCTGGAAGACGCTTTAGGAAAACCATGATTACTTAGGTAACGATCTTTCCGGAGTCTTCCAGGATGGCAGCATGCCGTCCATTGAGAGAGCTGTGCCACTGTAGTGCCATCTTTGCCCGGAGCCCGCAAACCTGGAAAGAAGATGGAAGCCCTGTCAGTGTGCTTGGAGGGCTTCGTTTTAAGGCAAGGCTTTCATAGTGTGCTAGTATGCAATGCATACTAGCACATTATACTCTTGCTGGGTGAAGATTTTTTTTCTTGCAGTTTACTACTGCTTTAAAGAGGTCGTTGTACTTTTTTTTTTTTCTTCTTTTGTCTGGCTCTGGTCATTTCATGGAAATTGACACTTTATGTTGTAAGGGCTGTTGTCTTGCTTCCTTAGGAAGATACATTTTCTGTTCATCATTCTGAATGGCCCTTACTTGTGCCCAGACTTGTAGTGAAACAATATCTAGAGAGATTAGAATTTTTGTAATGGAAGGTTATTTCGGCCTTCTCCTGTTATTCACTACTTTGCTACTACTAATTTTGTCTGCAGATGCTTAAGTAAAACAACTAGATGGGGCTTTGCCTCTTTGATTTATATAGAGTCCAATCTAGCTATACCTACATTTTGAAGAATACAGTCCCCAAATAGACTACCAGCAAAAAGGATTTTATGGCTGGTACAGAAAAAAATACTATTTGGAATTTGTGTGGATTGTGGTAAATTGTATCTATCTCCAGGATGTTAGTGTTTTAAGATTGTGACGGGAGTGACTTTTGGGGGTGGGGGGACCTCTGTATCATCTCCCCAAATCATTATGTTTAACCCACCCTGTGCCTGTTTAAGGGGTACAGGGTGTGTATGTGAATGTCTGAGTCTTGTGTATAATGTGTGTTCCTTTGTCTAGCCCACATGGCTGTCCATTGTCTGTTTGCCATGTGCTTCCCCCCATTGTGCTGTGTCTGCCTGTCCAGCCAACTATTATGGGATGTACTGTTTGTGTATTGGTGTGGGGGTTGGTCAATGTCCTTTACCATGTGTTTCATCCCATTGTTCTGTGTCTGGGTGGGATGGGGCGGGCTGATGATGTATTTCCTGTTCCTGGTTGTGTTTCCCCGCCCTCTGTATAAAACATGTTGTTTGTGTAAAATAAAGAGTTGTTGGCTTCCTGTTTTAGTAAGATCTGGGTATTGTCTATTTTCCTGAGGGATTTCAAGGGTGTGGTCCGTGGATGGTGTTCGGACAGGGGAAGTTGTGCTATAACGGAAAAACTCAGTGCGGTCTGGGTTCCGGTTCCGTTACAAAGATCTTTTCACAAGATTTTTAAAGCCCATAGCGAAGGCCATAACAATTCTTAGAGACTATATCATGCTTACCTGATTGTTTTTTGCAATACGGAAGATGATGCCCTTATTTTGGGAGGAGCCTGAAGACATTGTCTACTACTGGGATACCTAACTAGTGGAGCCTTTTAAATATAAGATGGCATGATTTAAACCACCATCATTGCCAGTGCTAAGTGTGCCTTTCTCCCCATTCAGACAGTGCCATGGAAATTTTTATCTTGTTGAGATTGATTCATAAGACTGAATGTGCGTAATATTTAATCTGTTATTGTTTGTGTTTTTTTTCTAGGCTGAAATGCATGGGACACTATCTTTTGTACTCATTCCAAGTCAGCAGACAAAGGCTCCACCAGCAAGAGACACTGTGGTAAGTTTTCATTACTATTTTCTGTGTGTGTGTAAGAATTTTGTTTCATTATTGGTTATATCCCCGGTGCCCAAATTGTGGCACAAAGGCTACACGCCAGCCCTTTGGTATTTGTTTTGTTGCCCTTGGACCCCGGCGCTCTATATTGGAAGCATTGATTTGAAAAGGCATAATGGCACTGATCTGTTCTAGCTTCATGTACAGTGAGGAACAGAAGTATTTGAACACCCTGCGATTTTGCAAGTTCTCCCACTTAGAAATCATGGAGGGGTCTGAAATTCACATTGTAGGTGCATTCCCACTCTGAGAGACAGAATTAAAAAAAAAAATTCAGGAAATCACATTGTATGATTTTTAAAGAATGTATTTGTCTTGCACTGCTGAACATAAGTATTTGAACACCTAAAAAAAAAAAGCAAGAATTCTGACTCTCAAAGACTGTGCCTAAAACGTCCACCTCTACACCACTTATTAATCTAACTTAGTAGCACCTTTCTGAGCTCTTTAAAGACACCTGTCCACCCCACAGTCAGACGCCAACTACTGCCATGGGCAAGACCAAAGAGCTGTCAAAAGACACCAGAGACAAAATTGTGGACCTCCACAAGGCTGGAAAGGGCTACGGGGCAATTGCCAAGCAGCTTGGTGAAAAGAGATCAACTGTTGGAGCAATTGTTAGAAAATGGAAGAGGCTAAAGACGACTGTCAGTCTCCCTCGGACTGGGGCTCCATGCAAGATCTCACCTCGTGGGGTATCACTGATGATAAGAAAGGTGGGGAATCAGCCCAGAACCACAAGGGAGGAGCTGGTCAATGACATGAAGAGAGCTGGGACCACAGTTTCAAAGGCCACTGTCGGTAGAACACTACGCCGTCATGGTTTCAAATCATGCATTGCACGGAAGGTTCCCCTGCTCAAGTCATCACATGTCCAGGCCTGTCTGAAGTTTGCCAATGACCATCTGGATGATCCAGAGGAGGCATGGGAGAACGTCATGTGGTCAGATGAGACCAAAGTTGAACTTTTTGGTCTAAACGTCACTCGTCGTGTTTGGAGGAAAAAGAAGGATTAGTTGCATCCCAAGAAGAACACCATCCCTACTGTGAAGCATGGGGTGGTAACATCATGCTTTGGGGGTGCTTTTCTGCGAAGGGGACAGGACGACTGCACTGTATTAAGGAGAGGATGAATGGGGCCATTTATTGTGAGATTTTGAGCAACAACCTCCTCAGTCAGAGCATTGAAGATGGGTCGTGGCTGGGTCTTCCAACATGACAACAACCTGAAGCACACAGCCAGGATAAACAAGGAGTGGCTCTGTAAGAAGCATATCAAAGTTCTGGAGTGGTCTAGCCAGTCTCCAGACCTAAATCCAATAGAACATCTTTGGAAGGAGCTGAAACTCCGTATTGCTCAGCGACAGCCCCGGAACCTGACAGATCTAGAGGAGATCTGTGTGGGGGAGTGGGCCAAAATCCCTGTTGCAGTGTGTGCAAACCTGGGCAAGAACGACAGGAAACGTTTGACCTCCGTAATTGCAAACAAAGGCTTCTGTGCCAAATATTAACACTGATTTTCTCAGGTGTTCAAATACTTATGTTCAGCAGTGCAAGACAAATAAATTCTTTAAAAATCATACAATGTGATTCCTGTATTTTTGTTTTTTTTTTAATTCTGTCTCTCAGAGTGGGAATGCACCTACAATGTGAATTTCAGACCCCTCCATGATTTCTAAGTGGGAGAACTTGCAAAATCGCAGGGTGTTCAAATTCTTCTGTTCCTCACTGTATCCTGCATGCAGTTTCTCACTGTTTTGTGCAGCAAGCCTCCAGTCTCCAAACAAACCTGTAGTATGTCCACAGTTTCTGACCATCATTTCTTGTAGTGTCTGCAGTCTTTGACAGTGACAATTTACTACTTTAGATACATTGTTTAACAACAATAATAGTATACATTTCTGATTTCCATTCATTATTGATAGGTTTCCACAGCCACCTCTCTGTACTTTAAAGCACATGGTATCATCCACACATAATGAATTGTGTTATTTCATATTGACTCGTAGAGAGCATATCCGTCACATTAGTCTCTTTCCCAGTGAAGCTTACGACGGTAAAGTGATTGTCAAGTTATTTTTTTAAATAAAAAACATCATTTTTACCTGCTCTGTACAGTGGTGTTGCACAGAGCAGCCCTGATCCTCCTCTTCTGGAGTCCCTGACTGGTGCTCCTGGCTTTCTCCTCCTTCCCAGTGCCCCCATAGCAAACTGCTTGCTATGAGGGCACTCGTGTGGGCTCGATCTTGTGCTGGACCTCCGCACAGGATTTGATTAATAGCAGCAGGAGGTAATGGCTCTTGCTGCTGCCTCTGAATCCTGGGAGGAGAGAGAGGGCGCAGCGCCACTGCTCTCAGGCACAGCACTGGATCGAGGTAGGGCTCAGCTAAGTGTGATAGGGGCTGACCATGGAATGTTTGTTACCTTAATGCAGAGAATTAGTTTAAGGTAAAAAACCTTAAACCTTTACAACCATTTTAAATCCTTATAGCTCATACTTTCAGCAAAAATATATTAACAGAAGTTGATAAATTTGCACTAAAATATACTCAAGATTTCAAATAATTCATACAACCACTTTTCTGTTATATCTATATTATAAAAAAGGTTATAAAATTATATGGTGCTTGCGAGCTACTATGGTAAAGTTAATTACTGTGCATAAATAAATTAGTGAAAATTAAATAAAATAAATTATAGTGGTTCACTGACACTGTGACATATATATATATATATATATATATATATATATATATATATATATATATATATATACTCATATGCCTGTGCAAAATGACTAATTAAATATATAATTAGTGTCACGCTCCACACAATTAAATAAAATAAGTGAACAAATTACTAAATATTGCTATTGATGTCTCAGTGAATATTATATGTGACCATATATATAGTGATCCAAATATAAATACAATTGTATATAGTGATAAATCAAAGCTATATTGAATATCAAGAAAAAATATATATGTGCAATAATTGTTATATGTGAATATTCAAAATCAATATATATAATAATAAAGTGTCCAAAAAAGTGTCCAAAAATTATAATATAAAACAATCACAAAAGTGTCCAAAAAAATATAAAAATGAAAAAATAAAAAATCCAATATTGTGTCCACTCCGTGATTATAGTCTGAACAATCAGGTACACCTTTCTTATATATGCTGTCACCTTAAATATAGCCCAACTTGTGATTAGGCTAAAACAGCTTTTTATCCTAAATTGGATAAATGAGGAAATTTCCAGTGATGGTATACTTCCTGGAATAATGATATTGATAATGATATTGCAAGATGTACTACTTCAATTTTCCCTCAGGGGGTCTCTCAGGCACTGATCCTCACATATTCACTGTCGGTGTTATCCTCTGGGAACCTTGCAGCACAGACACAGAGGCCAACCCGGAAATACAAACAATGGATTTGTATTTCTGGGTTGGCCTCTGTACTATATACAATTGTCTTTATACTATATTATATATTTAATTAATATATTAATATCTATCTATAAATATCTAAAAGCTCTTTCATACTTGCACACATCCAAAAATATAATGTATGCCCTAATCTGCCTTGCTGACAAAAATTGGAACACTTTAAAGTGGTTGTTAACCCTCAAATATACCCTTTGAAGTGACTGGCCCCAGGTGATACACAGAGATTAAACAAATCCTCGTACATAAGATGTACCTGTTTATATACAGTCTTCTCTTCTCTGAGTGTTCTATAAAAAAGGGGCAGAGAGCTGAAGTTGCACTCTGCATAACTCAGGGAGGAGAGTTCTGGGAGCTGATTGAAGGGGCAGACCCCTCCACACAGCTTAGGAGAACAGAGCCAAAGCTGTCAATCTGCTGGAGAGCCCTCCCTTGTCACCATTTTTCTCTTGGTGTCAGGAAAACGTGTCAGAAGTGGTTCATGCCGATAGTAGAGGAACGATGCAGACAGAAAAAAAATATAGTCCTTTTAATCGAGTCAGGTACACACTGTACGCTTTGTTCATATTTCATGTCATATTTCATGTCTGAGGTTTACAACCACATTAACTCTATTTACTGGAACCTTTTCACGCAATCTAGCCTGCACAAGGTTTGCAACAGATCTTGCTCTCTTACAGTCAGTTTAGACCGCCCCTATGTAGTGCAGAGGAAGGGGCTCAGCATTAGAATGGCTATTGCTTGCTGCCACATTTCTCTGTCCCTGTATAGTTGCCCTTTTTTCTATAGGCTGCAGAGCCATAGCCACTGTAAACATTGTGGTGGCTCAGTAAAGACTGGACAGCATGAAAAGTTGTTTTGCAGAATGAAAAGAGAGGTTCTATTTTATTATTGACAAAGTTGTCTGGATCGATTTTGTGTTTCAGTTTTGTATGAAATTGTACTTAGCCTTTAAAATTTCCCATGTACTAAGGGGTAAAATATGTGCAAATATTACATGATGCTGTGGGTTCTATCTGCAGAAATGCACTAAGGCTTATCTTATAATGTTTGTGTATATAATCCATTTATTTCCAGTTTAGCTTGAATAGTTAGAAATGAGCTAAAATGTATTGCCCTCTAGCATCTGTCTATGCATGGAAGGGCCTTCTTTGTCCTTAAAATAGTGTGCTAATCTTCTTAACTTGTAAAGGCATGTTAATTACGGTAATCAAGATTGACTTTCAGTTATTAAATTACTCTACTGTTCTTTACATGTACGTTTTCCCTTTTTTAAGGGACATCAATAGTCATAGCATGGTGATTTAAAAACCATTAATGTACTGTATGTACAGGTAACAAAAATCTATATGTAAATGCATCTGTTTTTATTTCTTTTACTAGTCATGTAATATCAGAGTGTACAAAAATAGAAAAGTATACATGCAAATGTTTTTCTTAAAATATGTATTAGTTATAGTATATACAATAGGCAAGTAAACTGGAGTGTTG